GAAGGGAGGGTGGATCGTGCAGAGAGAGGCTGAGAAGGGAGGGTGGATCGTGCAGAGAGGGGCTGAGAAGGGAGGGTGGATCGTGCAGAGAGAGGTGGGAGGAGTCGGAGCTTGAAGGACACACGTGCTGTGTGCATTAAAGACAGCGCTGGCTGCTGCGTTGAGAAGACTCGGGGAGTGAGGGCTGACAGCGGGGAGCAGACAGGAGGTGGCTCCAGGGATCTGACTGTCTGACACCGGCTCGGCCAAGCCAGGGCACTGGGGTGGGGGAAGGAATGTGGTCAGTCACACCCTGATGTGCGGAGCCCCACCTTTCGGCCGCGTCTCTGCTGGTTTCGTAGTCGGCACATCTGGTTCACCCTCTGTATCCTCCTCCTCCATCTGCTCTAAGTCACCCTCCTCTGACAAGGCACCTTCCTCCTCCTCCTCCTCCTCTTGTTCGTCCAGCTCATTCATTAGGTCTTCGATGGCGAATGGGGCCTGTTCCACGATTGTCTCAAAGATCCCACGAGCTATGTCATGTAAATCCCGGGGACTAAGGGGTAGGAAGGGCGAGAAAGCGGGCAGGTTAGAAGAATTCTCAAACAGGAGCAACAGACTCGTTTGGTCCCTCCTCCCTCCATCCCACAGCCCGGCAGCCTCTCTAGGTCATTCCATCACTGGTCCACTCAACTCATCTTCTCCCTAAAGATGACCGTGGCTTCAGAAAGGCTGTCACCTTGAAGAACTTGGTGAAAACCCAGAGTCCGCCTGACAGCCACTGGCTACTTACTCTTTGGTCCTGGCGGCAATCCTGCAGAAGGGGTCAATGAACCTGAGGTTCTGGTCTGCAGTAAGCTGCGGGGGGAGGAAAGAGAGCTTGGGCTCCCGTCTATGATCACCAGGTGAGGAGCCTGACCGCAGCCCCACCATAGGTTAACATCAGGTGACAAGCCTCCAGGTTCCACCCCAAACCCAGGCTCCCTGAGGTCACGCCAGCTGAGAAGCCTGCTGCCTAAGCCCAGCCCAACCCCAGCCCCCCCGAGTTAACACCAGATGACAAGCCTGCTGCCACCCGGCCCACGCCCAGCTTGACCCCAACCCCAGCCCCCCTGAGTTAACACCAGATGACAAGCCTGCTGCCACCCGGCCCACACCCAGCTTGACCCCAACCCCAACCCCCGAGTTAATACCAGATGACAAGCCTGCCACCACCTGGCCCACGCCCAGCTCGACCCCAACCCCAACCCCCGAGTTAACACCAGATGACAAGCCTGCCACCACCTGGCCCACGCCCAGCTCGACCCCAACCCCAACCCCAGCCCCAGCCTAGCCCCAGCCCCCGAGTTAACACCAGTTAACAACAAGCCTGCCATCACCTGGCCCACGCCCAGCTTGACCCCGACCCCAACCCCAGCCCCAGCCCCAGCCCCAGCTCCCTCACCTCCTTTGCGCCCACTTTGCCCAGCTCCTCCAGGAATATCTCGGTGAAGTGGCTCTTCACCCCATGGGGGGCCTGGCTGTCGGGGTGCAGAATCTCGGCCGTCAACAGCTTCAGCAGCTGCTCGCACTGACTGAGGAGAGAAAAGGCAAATGCCGCAGGCAGATCCGACAAGAGCGCCAAAGACCAGGGTGGCACAGTTGGATGGCTCTAACGCCTAAGGTGTTGGTGATAATACGGACCCCTACGCCCTGGGCTTCTGGGTGTGTTTGCTTTAAGAAGTTCCCTAGATTATGTGGGCACACAGCATGGTTCGGGAATCATCTGTTCCATGAAGGAGAAGGGCTGCTCTGTCAGAAAAATAAGAGCAGATGCAAAGGCCAGAGGAAGACACCTAGGTGCGAGAGGCCTGCTCCAAGCCTAGTGTTAACCCGACCAACCCTTGAACCACCACCACCACCAAGCCCTAGTGTGTGTGTGAGAGAATGGAGGGAAAAGCTCTAGGGGAAAGTCACACCATTAGCACCAGCTACCCCAGGGCAGTGGAGAGAGAGAAAACCAAGTTCTCCAGGATGAGCTTTGCATTGAATTGCTATGAACAATGAGGTTGTCGTTACTTTCGTAATAATAAACCAAATAAATAAATAAGTTAACATAAAACAGGCCCTTTAACGTGTAATGCCATTTAAGTCACTGCATCCCCAGTGGCTAAGCCTCAATACTGAGTCCTATGATGAGTGAGAGCCGCCTGGCCTCAGAGTCACCCCTGGGGATTTAAGGATGACAATCACTGACAGCCACTGGAGGCATTTTGGTCCTAAATGGGAAACATCCAATCACCCAGAACCACTGTGGTTCAGAGCGTAGAACCATGATGTGGAATACTGTAAAATTTGGTAGCTACAGTCCAACTTCTGTTATTCTCTTTTGTGAGGGGGGAAAAAAGGTGGGCCAAAGGAAAGAAACAGGTTAACTTTGCTTCCCAGAAGATAAAAACTCCTGGAAAAGCTTGGGCCGTAGTAAACTGCACTCTCTAGTCTGGTAGCTCTTCTGACATCTGGGTACTAGTTTCAGTTTTCATATACTTGGGGGAAAAAACCCTTTAATGTATCCTTTTTCACTTAACTACAAATCAATGGAAAATACATTCTTCCTAAGCCGAGACCTCTCCCCCTGCCAAGAAAAAAGATCATGTAGCAGAAGGACAGAGAGGGGCTGTTTGTCATGTGTCATCAGTAAGACAAAAAGGGAGTCTGCAAAACATCACAGTTAAGATGCCACCACTTTTGGGGACACACACACAGAAAACAGATGCACTGCTGCTGGTATAGGAGACATTTTGTTAAGTGATTATCTCTAGTGGTCAAATTACTTTCTAATTTTTATAAAAGTTTTCTGAGTTTTTTATACTGAGCGTACATCACTCTCAAAGCTGTAAGTAAAAGTTTAAAAACTGAACTACAGTTCATGGACTCCAGACTTTCTGGAGCCACAGAGGCCAGATGAACCCCCAAAATTATTGTCCTGAGATAATCTTTAAATCTTAAACCAAAAATATCCTCTAAAGTCTTCTTAAAACCAAACAGTAGTTTAGCTTAACTAGTAAAGAATGTCCGCCTTGAGCATTACGCTCTTTTAAGAAGTATCTATATGGGATCAAATTGACAACAGCAACTTGAAAGATTGGACAGGAACCTTAGGGGGTGATGAGCTTATGTTCATGGGGAGGAACACTCGGAGAAGGGAGGATGAGAATGGCTGTACAACTCCAAGAATGTAATCAATGTCACCGAATTGTACGTGCAGAAACTTGAATTGGTTTGTTTTGCTATGCACAGTCTCAACAACAAAGAATAAAGTAAACGATTTAAAAAAATTAAACTACACTGTAAAGTTAACTTGAAAAAACATTAAATGTTAAACACTCACTTTGCGGAGTGGAACTCAGACCGCCCTGGGCAGGTCTGGAAGCCCACTGCCTGGTCCGTTAGATGCAAATGCCTCGGCCAGCCCAGAGAGGCAGGTCCAGGCAGGACTCCCCTCTCCACCCCCAGCTTGTCCTCAGGTCTCCAGTGGGGGCTGGGACCAGGAGCTGCTAAGGCCGGGCAGTGTACAGAGCCAGCACCAGCTGCAGGGCAGGACGCCCCCTACCGCTCAGCGTCTGCGAAACCCAGATGGAGACAGAAACCAAACGCTTGCTCGTGGCCGAGCGGACGTGAGTACGCACCACGGCACTGCTGTCGAAACGGAGATGCCGGGACAACATGAATGTCTCTAATCTGGGAGCGATGACCACTGACTGCGGAACACACCAAGTTTTGATTTCAAAGAAAAAAAAAATGCCACCTCACTTTTCATCCTTCTTAAGCAGAGGACTCAAATTCCAATTCACAATAAGAACTCATCAAGGGTGAAAACGAGTGGCATCCTTCCATAAACACATGAGCGACCTATAATTTAAAAAAAACGCCTTCATCTTCAGCGCCACCAGGGTACTACCATCTCCTCACAACAAACAGAAAAGAAACCCGTCTCTCAGGTAAACGGCGGGGAGCATGTGTGCCCGTGCCATGAGAAGCAGCCTTGTCCCCCAGCCGCCATGTGCACTGACCTCTCCTCCCAGCCACGCATCTGCAGGGCCTTCAGGGATTCATTTAGGACCATCCGCATGAGCTACAGCACAAAAGGAGACTCTGGTTAGCAGAAGTACAAGCTACGCCTCACCAAACACCCCTGCGCCCCTTTATGTGCCACGGTCTGTCATCTCTGTGTGCCCTGACCACACAGCAGGCCCTCCAGAGTGACAACCGGCTGACATCGTCCAACACGATGCCAAGCCTGGGCCTGGAAACCCCACCGCTCCCCAGGCTACGATGCCTGGCTTTCTCGGAGCAGCAGGAAGTCGAGTCCACAGTGGACATGTTCCAGCACCACGAAGCCCAGCCTGGACTACACGGCCCCATCTGAGCGAGGACAGGGAGGGAGCATGGACCGCCTCACGAAAGGCGGAGCCCTTGGCACAGCCAGATCTGATCATCACAGCGGCTTTTTGAGGACTCCTGCCCCACAGGGAGAGCCCCACTCACCATTTCTCTGGCCCATCACGTGAAGGCTCCCTCCCAAGCCTCAGAACTCAAACCAAGCTCCAGTGGGAAACTGACGCCCACCCCACCATTCCACCTCTCCTTTAAAATGGTTCAAAGTCTTTTCTGCGTGGTTCTCCTGCCCTCAGGTAGTAACACACTGCAGGGAGTCCCCGTCAGGATAAAAGCAGCACAGGACACATTGGCTCCCAAGAGCCTTCGGTCACAGGGCCTGCCTGGGCTGCCGGGACACCACTCCTGGGGACACCAGAAGCAGCCGAGAGGCTTAGCAAGACGTGGTCACACGAGGGGGACAACTGACCTTAAAATCAACGGAATTTGCAGCATAAAAAGGCCCAGCAGTTACACCTCAGGTAAAGAGACTTCACCTAAGGACTCTTGCTGCATAAACCTAAATTCTGTAAATGCACGGAGGCCTGGCTCCCAGCCCTCTCCCGCCCCACGTGCTTACAGTCCCTTCACGCTTCCTTCTTGAGCGTTCTAATTCGGGGTCCTTACTGCAAAACTGTCACACACTCACACACACACGCACGCACACACACACACTCATGCACTATTTATGTAATCCTGGCCCAGGTCTGAGCTGGTCACCGAGCCAGACAGGCAGATGAGGAACTAGGGCCGAGAGCTCCGTCCACAGTGAGGATGGGACACGGCCCCGCCGGTGTTCCCACAGATCATCCGCTCTTGGACAGCAGCAGTGTGCCTTCACCTCCAGAGCTGCCCCGAGCTGCAGTAATCCACCCGAAGGACAAGATGGCAGCTGAGCGGGAAGGGAAGGTGAGGAGGCGGCCAGGTGGCAGGCTACTGTGTCTGAGACTTGACTTTCTCCCTGTGTCTCATAGGGCAGATCACTAACCTCAATCCACAGGACCGCAATACAGGACTGAACGTAACTATAATCACCCCGTCCAGAAGACACGAAACAACCCTAAGAGGCCTGCCCGGCAGGAGGGCCCGGCCGCGCCAGCCAGTGAGCAGTCAGGAGCGTGCAGGGCTCCAGCAGCGGGGGTGACCAGCTTCATGGCAAGCGGTCAGGAGCGTGCAGGGCTCCAGCAGCGGGGGTGACCAGCTT